GAAAGAGGGAATACAACTTCTCTCCCTCCAACCTCTAGGCTTTTCCTTCTGGAGGGGGCTAGTTTCAGTTGCTACTGCCCTTGGACACCAGACACCGGGTTCTTTGGCTTTGAACTCTGGCACTTGTACCAGTGGCCCTCCATAGGCTCTTGGGGCTGCTGACTTATGATAGAGGCTACAACATTAGCCTTCCTGATCCTGAGTTTCTGGATTCTTGGATTGAGCCATGTAAGCAGCCTCCCTGGCTCTCCAGGTTACAGGTAGCTGTTGTGGAATGTTTCATCCTCTCTGATCATAAGAGCCAATCTAGTGTGTGTGTGTGTGTGTGTGTGTCTCCACTCACACGTGCACATACAAATGTTTATTGCCTATTGGTCTGTTTTCTGGAGAGTACTGAACAATACAGGCATCTACAAAAAGCAACCAGCCGACTTAGCTAAAGGAGAAGCATGGGAAGAACTTCCTTAAGATTAGAAGTAAAAGATGTCTTCCATCACCCTCCCATTCTTCTCTTGAGCATTGCTCTGTGCTTTGGGCCAGCCCTCTCAAGAAACAAAACAAAAGCTGTAAGGATGAGAATATAAAGTGGTGGAGCTGCTGTGGAAAACCATATGGCTATTCTTACAGAAAAATTAAAACAAATTATCATAGGATTCTGCAATTCCAAAGAGAATTGAAGCAAGTTGTTTGGGTCAGCTTTTTTTCCCTCTGCTGTGACTAAAAGGATCCAACCAGAACCATTGTAGGGAGAAAAAGTTCATTTGAGGGCTCACAGTTTCAGAGGTCTCAAGTCCATAGAAGTCCAGCACCATTCCTTTGGGCTCAAGGTGAGGCTGAACATCATGATGGAAGAGTGGGGCATAGGGAAGCAGCTCATATGATAATCAGGAAGTAGAGAGAGAGAGACTCCACTTGCCAGATACAAATATATACCCCAAAGCCTCGTCCCAAGTTCCCACCTCCTCCAGCCACAACAAAACACTTCAGTTATCACTCAGTTAATTCCTATCAGGGGTTTAATTTATTGATTGGGTTAAGGCTTTTACAACCCAGTCATTTCTCCTCTGAACTTCTTGCATTGTTTCACACTTGAGCTTTTGGGGGACACCTCACATTTAAACTATAACATTCTGCCCCTGGCCCCCGAAAGCTCACAACCATCTCACAATGCAAAATATATTTTGTCTATTTCCAAGAGTTCCCATAGTCTTCTCTGAGGCTCAATGCAATCTCTCATTGTGAGCTCCTGTAAAATTAAAAGCAATTTACAAGTATCCAGTATATAAAGATACAGAGTAAACATTTCCATTCACAAAAATTGGGTCATAGAAAAAAGGGATGGTACCAAAGCAAGACTGATATCCAGGTAGGCAAAAAAGTCCTGTAGTTCTGTGTCTGGCCTCTGGAGCACACGGCATCGTGATGTTCTCTCCAAAGGGCTGTGTAGCTCTACCCCTGTGGCTTTTTTGGTTGCAACCCAAGTGGCCTTTCTGTTGACTTGTCTCTGCTTAATTCCTGCAGTTTTCCTAGGACAGTGCCCCCACATTATTGGCATTTCTTAATTTCAGGGGTCTCCACTGCAGCTTTGGCTTCCTCCTCAAATCTCTATATCTTGTCTTCTCAGGGAGTGCCTGCAGGGACTCCGACCCTACTGCACTCTGCTTTGCTTCCAAGCCTTCCTTTGAAATCTTGGTAGAAGCCTCCATGACCCCCTAACTCCAGCATCCTGCATTCCTGCAGAACCAGTACCACCACATGGTTGATGCCAAGGTCTGCCGCCATCTTAAGCAGTAGCCAAGCCTTCAGATACCTTAGCTGCAGCAGCCTCTGGGTAGCTGAGCACATTGAAAAAACTTTTTAGGCCCCTTTATGCAAGAAGGATTTCTGACTGGTCTCTTCTCAAGAGAATTTTCACTTTTACTCCCTTGAGCCTGAGATGGAAGTGGTCTTGCCCCTTCTGAGATGCCCTTAAGCCATTTTTCTAATTGTCTCTGGGCAAAATCTTTAGCATTTCTGTAGTGGCAGTAATGTTTTTAACAACTACAACTTCCTTAGCCCCAGTTTTATTCCTGCCTTTCAAGTTCAAGTTTCTCAAATCTTTCTGCTCTGCTTTCTGCTCCTGAATATCAAAGTAACTTGGCTAAAAGCTGCCAGTAGTACCTATATCACTTGCTGAATGCTATACTGTCCAGAAATTTCTTCTGCCACATAAGAAGCTCATCACTTTTAAAATCAGCCTCACAGAAAGTCTCAGGACACGGACAAAACAGGAATGGCCTCTAGTCCAAATTCCAATAGAGTCATTCTCTGAAGCCTCTTGGGCCCTGTCTTCACTGTGCATGATCCTATTGGCATTCTGTTCTTCTGAGCTCCCTGTAGAATCAGCCATTAAGCTCCACTTACAACAGTTTAAAGCATTTCCAGCTGGCACTGGTAAGCATCTCAAAATTCCTCCCACCAAATGCAAAATATTCAAAAAGCTTCTGAACCATATGGTCAGGTTAGTCACAGCAAGGACCCCACTACACGGTACCAATTTCTGTTTTAGTCACTGCTGTGACTAAAACATCTGACCAGAACAATTGTAAGAGAGGAAAAGTTTATTAGAGGTCTCACAGTTTTAGAGGTCTCAGTCCATGGACAGCTGGCTCTATTCCTTGGGGCTCAAGATGAGGCAGAACTTCTTTGTGGAGAGTGTGGCAGAGGGAAGCAGCTCATATGGTGATCAGGAAGCAGAGAAAGACTGCAGTCACCAGATTCAAATATATACCCCAAAGCCATGTCCCCAAGTCCCACCTCCTTCAGCCACACCCTACCACTTTAGTTACCACTCAGTTAATCGCTATCAGGGGGTTAAGATTGGGTTAAGACTCTCACAGCCCAATCATTTCTCCTCTGAACTTTCTTGCATTGTCTCACATGTGAGCTTTGGGGACACCTCACATCCAAACTATAACACAAGGGCACAAAGACATACTAGTGTACCCATTCTCGTTGCAGCATGATTCACTATAGCCAAAAGCTGGAGGTGACCCAAGTGTGCATTGACATAAGTGGATAAACAAAATATGGCATAGATGATGGAATGTTATTATACTTTCAAAAGGAAAGAAATTCTGACACACTACAGCATGATGAACCTCAAAGGCATACCACATGAAATAAGCCAGACACAAAAAGACAAATATTGTACATTTTTGCTTGTGCCAAGAACCTAGATTAGTCACTTTCATAGAGAGAGAAACCAGGTGGTGGTCACTAGGAACCAGGGAAAGGGCCATTTGGGGAATTACTGCTTAATGAATTCAGAGTTTCAGTTTGGGAAGGTGGAAAAGTCCTGAAGATGGATGGTGATGATATGAATGTACACCTAAAAATGGTTAAAATGGTAAATTTTGTGTCATCATATATTATCACAATTTTTTACAAAAGTCATATGAGTATTCCCAAGAAAGAAACAGATGAACTTTAATATGTAATTGCCCATAACCACTTGTGCTGAATCCAGTGTTTCCTGCTAAATCCAGGGTTATTTTTTTTTAACCTAAGATTTATGAAGGAGGGTGTGTTTCAGAGGCAATAAACAAATTTGGCATATAGAGTCTTTTAGTGGAAAAGTAGGAGAAGGCTTTCATTAGATTGTCACATTCCCCTGGATGTGTGAGAGTGCTTCAGAGTTGGCCCTACCAAGCTGCCCATCTCCTCCCTGCAGGCCCTCTGCAGCTCTGCTTCCTGTGATGAGTAAGGGCTCAGGTCCCTCACTGTCCTCCCCCGCTCCTTCCCACCTCCTTCCTCCCTCCCTTCCCCCCCTTTCTCTTCCTTGCATTCACTCATATTTTTTAATATAATATAAATTATATTCTTTAATCTTCTTAAATTCTTTGAAAAAGTTTGATTTTTTAAAATTTTTAGATGAGCATGGCACTTAAATCAACTTAACTTCAGATAATTTTCTATTGCTCTTCATTTCCTGAATGATCTAGCTTTGTTTCCTGGGTTGTCCAGCTGTGGCTCAGGGGCTGGAATCCAGAAAGCCTTCAATGCCTGTGGAATAATTAGAATTCTACAAATCAAGTCTTGCAACTGGAAATCATTTTCAACTAGATTTTCTCCTGGTTTTATATTTTGTACTTAGTATAGACTGCATTTTAATCAATTGAAGAACTCTTTCTTCATTACAGTGTCTGCCTGGGATGTGGTAAAAATTGCTGTGATCATAATGGCTCTCAAAGGACGCTTCAACTTTAAAACATCAGAGGAACAAGAAATGGCACCAGCTTAATTTTCATCCAAATAAATTCTGAGACTTCTATTTTTGACAAAATGCTTTTATTTCCAGTTTTAAATGATATATTGTTAGAAGCTTGCATGAAATATCAAAAGGCGCTAAGTCACAAAAACTGTGTTGAAAAGACCCACTGAAATAAAGCACAACAGAAACCGCATAGTGTAAGGGACTGTGAGATTCCTAAGGGAAGCACCTTGGGTTCCGTGTACATCTGTGGCAGTGGTGGTCAGTAGTCATCATAGTTGACACTGGCTCCATGCCTAAAGCTATGGGGGCTCCGGGGTCCAATGGCAGAGTCTTCATCATAGTGACGTTGGTAGTAATCACCATAGTAGTCATGTCCATTTTGATCTCTATTTAGCCAATAGGTGATGTCATCTTCAAATTTCTGGAGGAAAAGAGAAAGAATGATGGAGAATGGATTTAAAGACACACAGTCCCCTAAAAATCACAACTTACCAATGGCATTTCTCTATGGTGGATTTTCTTCAATGATTAACAATGCTTACTATGAATAACTATCTCCTTCTAATGTTCTTATACACAGATATCAACATGACCAGATACCAAAAAGGGGTATTTTCCCTCAAAAGATTTTATGTCTCCACCTTAAAACTTTTGTTGTACTAGTTGTAAATATACCCAGACTCAGCAATAGAAAATAGACTAAACCAAATAGCCATGTCTCATTTCTTATGTCCTATTTCCCCAGCCGGCCTCTCTCCCTACCAGCCCACCCTGCAGGAAAGTGCACCCACCGCTTCATCAAAGCCCATGTAGAGGAACTGCTGGTACCACTGCTGCACCTCTGGCCGAGTCCGATCCCACAGCTGCCGCTTCTGGCGCTTCATGCTGCTCAGGAACTCTTTGGCTCTATTCTCATCCATGGCCACTTTTGTCTCAGTCAGAGCAGGTGCTGAAATGAGCAATTTCCACCCCGAAATTGCAAAGAATGATTTTTTAAAAAACAGCAGTTTTTGTTGTTGTTGTTGTTGTTGTTGTTGTTGTTTCTAGAATCGTACTGTGGGTTGAACTACTTTTTAAAATTTATGTGTAGTAATTGTACATATTTATGGGGTACAGTGTGATAACTCAGTACACGTGCAATGTATAATGATTCAGTTGATAATTAGCATTACCATTTCCTTAACCATTTATTATTTCTTCATGTTGGGAAGGTTTGAACTCCTCTCTTGGAGTTCTTTATAAAATATGTAACAAATTGATATGAACTATAGTCACTAGAACATTAGAGCTATGCTGTTGAACATTGGAACTTATTCCTCCTACGTACTTGTCATCCAATCTCCATGTTTCCCCTTTCCCTCAAGAATGTGTAATAAGAATTGTAGTGCAAAAAAAAAGAGTACATGTATAATGGCATAATTTTGGTGTGAACATACTTTATATACAGAGTTACAAAAAATTGTGCTGTAAATCGGTAATAATGAGTATAAGGCATTCCACTATTGTCGTGTATGTAAAAAATAAATAAGTAAGTAAATAAATAAATAAAAAGTAAATAATTTAAACTAAAAAAAAAAGAATAACTTTTGTTATTGGAGTGTAGCCACTCTTATACACCGCATCATGTACAGGATGGCTTTGCCTCTTGATTATTCTTTCATGCATCTGAGAGGATACAGCTTCACGTCGTCAGCTCCATGCTCTTTGCTCACAGCATTTTCTATATGTGTATAGCCACTTAAAAGAACTGGGACTTACTTTCAACATGTAGCTTTTCAGGGTAGCAATGAAATTCAGCTCATTCCCTGAAGACCACTGACCATGCCCCTAGCCCAGGGCTCAGCAGGGGCTGGTGGCTTAACCCCTGGCCTCTTCATTCAGCAAACAGAAATGGATATCTAGTGCCACACATGCTTAAAGTGTATATTCATTTCATATATAAGCAGGGGGATGAAGTAAGAAAAAAGAACTGGACGGATGCACCTTGAGAGAGCAGGGATCAAACCCACCTAGCAGTGCAACAGGGGTTCATCTCAGGCTGCTGGAGTACACAATGTCCTGTGGAGGCATCTCTGGGCCTCATAGTCTGATCACTACCCATTCTGTTGCATCTCAAAAGGTACTAACTTTTGCTTGAACTGCTTCCCATGTCTTCCCATCATAGTCTCAATGTCTTAAATGGCACCACTTCCGTAGGATGTGCCTAGGAGACTCGATGTTGTTAGGAAGAACTTATGGGATAATGAAACTAATAACATGGATAAACATCAGGGCTCGTTGCGTGGTCTTTACATAGTAGGTGCTTAATATGTGTTTCTTGGCTTCATGTGAATAAGATTCAAGGATATACACCCAGGAGTCATGATTATCTCAGCAGTTTGCTCACTTCTGATTGGCTGGCTCTGTGAGAGTTGCTCACCCGCAGGCATCTGTGAGGTGATTCTGTTATGACCAACCAGCCTAGGGAGGGGACATTTCTTTCCAAATCAGAGATAATCCAGGGCCCTATGAGTGGCCAGAAGGAAGCTGACAGCCCCCTCCCAGGAACTACTTTGTCTCGGAGGGGTCACCTGAACTCCAGGCACCTGTAGGGCATCCCTGAGAGGCAAATGAGAACTATGGGAACAAGTGATTAAGGGCCTCACTTTGGGAGCAGACTTTAGCCTATGAGAATCTTCTGTAAACCAGGAGGTAGAAAGAATAAGTGATCAAACTTCATATCAGAAATGTGGTTGCACTTTTTAATTTCTAGGATAATTTTATAGAATATGCTGGCTGGGAGAGGGAAAATGACATTCATGAGACCACACAATGGATCCAATTGACTTGGCGGCAACAGGCCCAGAACCCGTGTTTTGTGACTATTTTAACAACATCTTGCTGCTGTCTACAATATTCATCTTAGGAGCACTTCTTCCAGCAGAAATTGGCAACTAAAAGGTATCCCTATGGAAATGCCCTTCCACAATTGCTAATTACAGAGAATGCCACAACTAGGCAGTTCTAAGCCCGCTCCTGCAATGACTTCACATGCTCTGAAGGATATGCCCAAGTTTAGATGCAAGCTCTAAAGTTCTTCATGGATCTAAAATAAATAGCATTCAGTTGACACTGTTGCACTGTTTTGTCTATACTGACAGCTTTCCAAAAAAGAACCTACACACATTTACTAGCAATAATATTTATCTAATCAAATACCACACCACATACCCACAGAATAAACCCTTCATATCTTCAAATCTTTTAAGAAGTAAATACTCTTGATTTTCCAAATACAAGACTGGACACATTCAATATTATCATTTCATTTCCATCCAGTTAAGAATGCATCCCTTATCCATTTGGGGCATATTTACCTTCTCGTTTCTGAAGCATCTGCTTGAGTTTATTTGCACTTATGCCGCCTAAAGGAATAAAAACAGAAATCAACTTCAGAGTTGCACTGAATCCTTGAATTTTCAACTGTAAAAATAAGTTGGTGAAAAAGAATCTCAGACCCCTGTCTTGATTGCTAGTTTGGTAGTGTTGCATATTTAACACTTTTTGCACTCTGATTATTCAGGAAAACAATCTGGGGTTCCTGAGGCTAATGTCGGTGATGATGACTATGACTGACCAAGGACATTACAACTGGAGCTACTTCCTGGGAAAAGTGACATAATTCTTGGAGGCCTGGTGTCTAATCATGAAGGACAGCCATCTATCATGTGTACCTTCCTGAAATCATTTACTTCATGGTGTAACTCCTCCATCCAATGGAGTCCCTCAAGTTCCTATTCATCCCAATCTTCAGAATATGAGATTATGTGGAAGTATGGTTTTGCAGAGGAACTATGTTAAGGATCTCAGAATGATTATTATTCTGGATTTAGGGTGGGCTCTAAGTCCAGTGACTGGTGTTGCAAAAGGAGAAGGAAAAAAAAAACATCAAGGCAGAAATTAGGACTTGGGCTACCACAAGCCAAGGAATATTCTTTAGCTCTCTTAAAAATTAGCCCAGTTTTGTACTTTGCTCTGATCATCCTATAATCAAGCTTTGTTTTGGGGGGGGGGTGTCTTTTTCATTTTTTTTTCTTTTTTTTAGTTGCTCAAAACATTACAATGATCTTGACATATCATACATTTGATTCAAATGGGGAACGTAATCTTAATCTTACTTTTCCACGTGTACAGACTGCAGGATCACATTGGTTATACAGCCACGTTTATACATAGGGCCATACTAGTGTCTATTGTATTGTGCTGCCCTTCCTATCCCCCCTCCCCTCCCCTCCCCTCTTATAATCAAGCTTTATTAAGATCATTTGCTATTTTATTTACTCTGTTTTTGAAAAAGTTTCTAATAAGACCAGTTATTTTAATAGAAAAATAACATGTCTGTCCTAAAAGAAAACCCACCTCATGACTGTACAGAAGAATTTGATCCTTAACTGTACTTGTCTCATGAAAGGTGGACCCAAAGCCTCCAGAGAAAACACTTGGAGTATCCTGAGTAGTGAGTAGAGCATCTTTAGGTGTAAGAAACTGGAAACTAGGTGCAGAATGGGGAAATGCCTTCTTGACAGGGTTCTTAACCTCAGTCCATGGACAGATTCTAAATTGTCCAGAGAAAGAAAATTGTGCCTCCTTCTGCAAAGGTACAATTTTGGTGGACTAGAAGCCAAATGCTCAAAAGTATCTGGGGGTCAAAAAAAATTAAGAATCTCTGCTTTGAGCTGGGGGTGTAGCTCAGTGATAGAGCATTTGCCTGTCTTGCACAAGGCTCTGGGTTTGATCCCTAGTCCTGGTGAAAAAAAAAATTAAATTCCTGTTTTATTGTCAATAATACTTTAATAAAACCAGGGGAAATTTTTTTAAAAAGAACCCCTGCTTATATAATAATGTAGTTGAGGAAATATGTCACAAGAGTCACCAGCTGGCTGCTCACTGCTCTAAGCTGAACTGTATTATTTGTGTGCCTGTGCTTACAAAATTTGAATTTAAACCTCTCTGGACCATATTGCTCACACAGCCCATGGTTTATAAGCAGCCTCCTCACCTATTAACCCCTGTAGGCTTTGGGATCTGAGGGTTACTCCCTTCCTTTACAATAGCTTCACCATCCAAGGAACCTACTGGCCTGGCCTCTGGGATGGGATAACAAGCTTCTAGAACTTACTAAACTATTTTCTCCCAAGCATTTCTGTCATAACTCATGGGTACAGTGGCCACACTTTCTAGCTCTCCAAGGGCAGCTTTAATTTATACCAGTTGTCCTGATCAATTCATGACAGTGCCTCCTTTTGCTCTCCAGAGCATTCCATTATGGATGATGCTTATATAACCATCCTCTATTTGTAGAGGTTGAATGACATGGAAATGGCTTGGGAAGCATCTCTAGAGACCACACTAAAGGGAGGGGGATAGAAGTGTTTCTTGTCCTCTTGTCTTGCATAGGAGGGCTGGGTGTCTGCAGCAACCTCAGGGACTGCTCTGATGTTTGATTCCGTCCACAACCTCTCATTTGAAGAGGTCATGAAAAACATGGAGTGGTGGTCAAAGGAGAGTGTCCAGGGCAGACTAGGGCCCGAGGATGTGTAATAGGAGAAAAAATTGAAGGCATTTCGGTATTCACCTAGAAACTTCTGGAAGGAGGACTAGGATTTGACCACTGGATCCTAGATTAGGGCATGAAGTAATGTTTCCAATGCCTGGGCAGCCACCAAAAGATGAAACAAGTGGCCCGAGAAGTTTCTGTTAGGAGATACTGAGAGCAACTGAGCATAAATCAACAGAGTTGAGTACTTGACCAGGCTACCATAGGATTATTTGATTAGATGGGGTGGGGCTACTCTTAAAGGCTGAATTTCCCTTCTAACCTTAAGAAGCAATGAATAAATCTATGAAAATATTTGCCAAGCAGATTGATACATTTCTTGGCACTAAAATTAGCATCCATAAATGGCATAACACTTGTCAATCTCTGAAAACTCTCAGGTAGTGCATACAGAATTATCACTCCTCCATCTGTTTGCTTTCTGTGAAAGTGCTTAACAATTAATGAGTGAAATGTGGTCTTACATTGAAATAGATATGGGACTTAGGTATTTATCATAAGGCTGTAATTTCTTGCAGCGAATGTCTGTTACTACTGCTCCAGAAATGAGAGTCCCACCAAATCTCAGCTATGCCACTGAAAGGAATAAAAAATAATGGATGTGATGTATTTTCTGTAGACATTTTTTTTTAATCTCAACATCATCATTTAGTATTTCTAT